ATATATATATATATATATATATATATATATATATATTTTGTATAAATATGTAACAAACAACAACAAGTGAAACCCAAGTATTTTCTTGTATAATCAGTCTAGGATTTGTGTATTGACATAGGTCAGATGATGTCCACTCTGTCAAAAGAAAACTGACTTACTTACTGCTCTTATTTATGACCTATAACCCAGTCCTCGAGATGACAGACGAGAAGACACGAGCTGATGGACTGTCCCTTTAACCCCAGGGCCGCCCCGTCACCTTAATGGCCTACAGGGAACAATAAGTATATTACACATTGAAAAACTGTCTGTGCTTGGATAAAGGCTCAGGCCTTTTGAATGAAGATCTCCAGCCTCATTTCCACTTCATGGTTCAGCTCGTCTCGACTCGAATCACTTTTGGTACGGTGTCCTTTTCCATATTTCGTTTTCCACTGCAGATAGTTACCGCCCCACCCGTGACATCATCCTCAACACAACACTCTAGACTTCTGCTCTTGGTCGGCAGTTTTTCGGGCTGCCATCTTTTAATTTTTCCTGGATCGAGTAAATAACAAAATATTCTAGTTACAACTCCCTCTTGTAACCCCACAAATGTGAATCGAGTGAAGCACCACACAGTCAAAATCTGGCATTGGTGCCAAAATAAGTCGGGGCGGAGTGCAGTCAGGGATGCTATTAACTGCTCTTTTGTTTACCGCTTGAAGGCCGGGATTCCAGATAAACAATAATGCATTCATGTTGTTTAAATTGTCGAGCTCTACACCGGCTACCCCTGGATCAAACTGCAGTGAGATGAAACTCCTTAGACCCAATTAGCCGATTTAGCACTACGGCAAACATTTATACCACAGCTAAAACTCACTAAAACTTCACTGAGAGCAACAAACAAGACAAATGTCTTTAGTGTTCATCAAAGTTTAAAAGCTGAATGAGTCCAATGCGCAAAAACACCTTTGTGCCCACGAACCGACAACAGGATGAAAACAGAACTTGCATCAGAGAGAGAGAGAGAGAGAGAGAGAGATGTATTCAGAATGTCATCCCGGCCCTAGAAAGAGGCACGAGGACTCATTTGGACTAAGTGGCGCATATGCCACAAGTTTCCTTTCATTACATCCTGATTAACGGGAGCCGGTGGTGGTGGGGAGCCAAAACCGGCACTGATGTGCAGCGAAGCGTCGGCTTATCATGCTTGGCCTTTGCCATGAACGTTCGCTAATGACTGATGGCCGCTGGGCACAATATGCTGTCCAGAGCTGCCGAGGAGTTGGTCACAGAAGGCGTTGGGCCTCACCACGAACACGGGCACATCTGTGTGAAGACATGCAGTAACAACACGCAGTCCTCATGCATGCATGATGAGCTGAAAGACGTGCACTGTAATTATCTCCACCAGGGGATTGTGTATTTGGTGGTTTTGTACACGCGTGCATCTCTGTGTCTGTCTGTCTTTCCACGGCTAACCTAGCATACTGCTGAACCCATCAGCCTAATACTTTTTGTGCTCATTTATGAGCTGTGTGCAAAAGGGCAACCTCTCGTGGTTGCAGTGATTCCAACCTTTTAAAACACATATTTTATTGACTGTTTTCTAGCATCATTGACCGCTGACTCCTTAATACTCTTAACCGACCGGAAGGGGCCGTGAGTGATAAATCACTGCTTATATTTGGACTCTTCTTTACGCTGTGAGTTAGAAATTGTTCCTCTCTTCATTTGCATGCCAAAGTTAGACAGTTGCAGAGTTTATATTTATTCAAATCGAACATCACAGCAGCGGTTGTTGCAGAAACACCTGGCGGAGATCTGCACTCCACTGAGTGCACTTTTTGTAGTTCACTCTGCTTTATCTCTGGTCCCCACAGTCCCATATAAACAAATGTGTTTTACAGCTCTCTGTCACGTACTCATCTAAAAGCTATTACATCTATAGCCATTTCATTAAAGCTGTCCTAGACTCAGCTGCCCTTAAAGTCAGCGGTTCCCTACCAGAAAAAGATTTCTGCTAAAGAAAATTAATTTAGTTTTCTTTTTATGAACTGCATACTGCATATGAACTATGAATGTGGCTGCTCACAGGTCATACAGCAGCTTGTGACCTGGCTATAAATGCTCAGAAGCCAGTCAGACTTTGTCACCACTTTTTCAGTGTTTTTGTTTTCTTTTAAATCAACTGAAGCAAAATCAGCAACAGCGATAAGAACCTCATCAACACAAGAGAATTGTCTCGTGGAAGCAGAAATACCACAATAATGAGCGCTTGGCACCAAAGATTGAGACTGTAATTGAAATAATAACAAATATCTAGTGGATTATAATTTAAAACTTTTGTAAAAAAAACATGCTGTTTATCTACTTCTGTCTCTCTCTCTCATACACACAGATATTTACAATCAGATAAAAATCAGCGTGCCCATTTCAGCTTTGCAATATACTGTACGACCCTGTTTAACACAACAATAGAATTCATGCTATTTTGATAAGCCTCTCTGGGAAAATAAATCTCAACGAAGCTGCAGGAGGAGCAGGGAGTCCTGACATCTATTCAGTGCAAATAATTCCAAACAGGATTGATTCTCCTTCCTTTTCTGGCACGCATTATTACTGCAGGCAGGCGCGCTGTTTGTGTGTTTCTCTTATTCTAATTGTAAAGAAAATTGTTTGATCTCGGAGTGAGAAAACAAACGCGTTTCAGGGAGAAATTAAGGTATATTGGCCCGTCCTCACAATCCTCACAATGACGTGAACGTGACTGTGGTAAACAATGAACAAAGTAGCGTTCACATTGTTGCCAGAGAGAAAGCGTCACGCAGTCAGCATCCCGAGTCAAGTGACTCTGATGAAGACTATGAGACTGACCTATTCAATCCACTGACAAACAGCAGCGGAATGGCGTCTTGCTTGTGTAACTCCAATATAAACAGGATATTGTGCCAGGACACACGACAGAGAGGAAGTCTTCACGAATGGCCGTGCTCCACTGCGACAAACAAAAGGCAGGGAGGACTGGTGGCCCCCGGGTGTGAGAGCAACTCACTGTGACATGTTTTGTACAACAAGTTGGGTTCTTCAAAATGAATGAATTAAGTCTTAGGGAATGTGGTGCCACTAACGACTAACTTACAGGTTTTATCGGACGATGGGAACGATTTTCTTTTAAATGATGAAAAAACAAACAGCTATTTTAGTAGCTAACATGAAAGAATAGTAATGTTAATAATAATCATTGCTTTTCTCCAATGGATCATTTTAAAGTTCTAATCCATGAAACTGCATTTGTTTATGGCCTGCATTTTTTGAGAAACACAAACATGCTTCTTGTTCTGTATTCACCTCTTTATATCACAAGTTTTCATTGTTACTGGCGGAGTCCACCATTTGCCACGTGGCATTCAAAATCGTCTGCGCCAGCACATGTGATTCACAAGCAACGCTACATGCATGTACTTCCTCATTGCTGCGCCTCGTCATTTTCTTGAATCACATTTATGTTACCCTCAGGTGAACTGATGGCTGATCTCTGGGAAGTTACTGGTAATGCGGAGCAAATGTTTCCTACTGCAGGGACGCGCATTAAAGAGAGACAACCATGGAGAGGCTTTTATTATGAAGCCGCCACAGGAAGCCAGTTTGTCACCAACTTGGGTTAGCGTTGATATTGTTTGTGTATTTAAAAAATGCAAGACGCGGTCATTTTTGGAGCTTTTGGACAAAAAAAAAAGTTCCACACAAGAGTTAATTCTCCCCATGTTTTCCCCTCAGTCCCGCTCCGGAGGACAACAGACCACTGTTGCCAACTATTTTTCCGGGGAAGTTGCTAGAGGCAGGTCGATTAGTTGCTAAAAGTTGCTAAATGGCGTTGTGACGTCATTACATGATGACGTCATTACGTAATAACTTAAAACTGCGTCATTACGTGATGACGTCATTATGTAATAACGTAAAACTGCGTCATTACATGGACTACACAATAACGTTACTCAAATTGACTGTCCATCTCGACAAATAATATGATTTGACATCTGTTAATTAAGATTTTTTGTTTATTATCACATTTTTATTTGTAGAAGTAATTTAAACACAACACATTTTATATGATCAGATATTTTTAAACACAACACATTGAATTATTGAACAATTACACATTATTGAACAATTACTTTTTTTTCTTTTCTTATAGAAAAAATTAGTAAACCTACACATTCTGAACAATTTAAGCAGTGTACTGGTAGTTAGTTAACATGCAACCAAACTGATCAATAATTATAGGTACAAGCTAATAACAAGGTATATATGATATCTTATTGAACAAGCAACTTAACTCAAATAATGATGTGTGCACTGGGCATCTCTTTCCAGCTGTCTCCAGGCTGTTGTGCTGCTTGGCTGGCTAGCTGCTCAAAGGTTCCCTCCAGATATTGCCACTGTTCTCGCTCACACGGCAGTGCACACTGCCACCATCAGCTGTGTGTCTCCGCCAGTTCCAGAAAGTCCACTCCTTGCATACATACTGTAAATATGATGAATCAAAAAGTGGAAAAGAAAACCTCTTCATCTTCACTGTCCAACTGCATTGTCACGGAGCTGGAACCAGCAGAAGAGGATGGAGTGGCCTTAAAGCCGTATGCTGTTTTGGTGCCAAACTTCTCCAGAACTTCACTTGGTAGTTTGTGCTGGTAACAGGTATCTCCAGCCAGCTTCAGTCCATACCGCACCAGGAGTATGGAGTTGAGAGTGTGCAGTAACATCCTATTTCTCAGCTTTGACTTGACCACACTCATTTGGCTGAACAGCTGTTCAACCTCCGCATTTGAGTGTGGCAAGGAGAGGGCAGCGAGTGCAGCTTTGCACAGTTCTTCAAATGGATTTGACCCGGAAGAGTCCCTGTAGTTTTTCACTTCACTCCAAAACTCAGCTGTATTTTCAGTTGAGTCCCACCTAAACAGATGGATGATTCTCCATTGGGAAACAATTTTGTCAATTGTTTGGGGATGGTACCCCAGTAGCTCAGCTACTTTAATAATTTCAGTGGTGCCTTTATTGTGGTTTAGCGTGTCCTTAACACTGAACAAGGCCATGTTTCACAAGGCTTCTAGGTTGTCTGTGAGCCTTCCTTGCAGCTCCTTCCTTAAAGCAACAATGTAGTTGATGCACCGTCTACGAATTACCTTTTCGTCGTCTGGCGCAAGACTGAGTCGGGACACTGTGCTCTCGAAAAAGGTACCCAAGGTATGGTGATGGACTGAGATGTCCATCAATGGCATCCTTCAGGACATCAATTTTTGCCATAGGGTGGACTACTCTGCTGCAAATTGATGTTAAGAGGTGTACCAGATTGTCCAAAAGCTTAACAGGATCTGTTTGCTCTCCCTCAAATGACTTCAATGCAACTTGTACGTCAGACAGGATTGATTTCAAGAATGTCAGGTAGACATAGTTGGTCTTGTCCACGTACATGGCATGGAGCACATCCGCCATGTAGCAATGCTCACTGGCCTTGGTCAACTCAAAGTGGAGTTTCAATTCATCCCACTGGCTCAATATACGAGTTACCACAGGCTCAATCGATAGCCAACGTGTGGCACACACTTTGGTGATCTGCAAGGGTTTCTGGCCACAATTAATTGTGGCATACACTATCTTTTGGGGAAATCGAAAACCAGTTGTAGGTTTCCCTGATTAGGTACTCAACACTCCTAGGGATGGTTTCTTTGGATGCTGCACTGACAGCCAATTGTAAAGAATGGCACACACAGTGGATGAGTACCAAATTGGGCAATGCACATTCTTCCTTTAAAATCTTGTGTACCCCGTTGTGCACCCCAGTCATCACGGACGCTTTATCAGTGCCAATACCGTGAAGATTCTCTTTTTTAAGGTTACACTTCTTAAGTAACTCAACTACTGCCTTTGCTATTGATTTGGCATCGCTCCCCTCCAATTCAACCAGCCCGAGAAATGTGGACACAACGGTTCTTTTTATAGCACTGAAATACCGAATCACCACACCCAAGTATTTCGAGACACTTACATCAGTGGATTTATCCAAAAGGAGACTGAACTTCTCATCCCCCACATCTGATGTTACTCTTTTGAGAAAATAAGGAGCCAGTACTCCCCTAATCATTTCTGTGCACTTAGTGCGGTGCATTTGGAAGTTTGTTGCTGCCACAGAATCTGAAAAGGCAGCTTTGCAAGCCATACCTAAATGGTCACATGCTAGCAGCGAACAATGCTCTGCAATGGCCATTGCCATAGTAGCTTCTGAGCTTTTGCATTTATCCACTTTCTTAACCAACTGTGGTAATGTAGATTGCGTTGCAGGGTTGTGCGGTTTTGATTTATTTATATGCTTTGCTGTAGCACAATGTTTTCTGATGTCATAGATTTTTGCAAGCATATCTGATTTGCAGTACGCACAGTATGCCCGACAATCATCCCCAATTACTGGCTTTAGCCACCCTTTAAATTCAGGTACAGACTCCCACTCTTTTCTGTACTTCTGGCTGTAGAATTTTGACTGAGACATACTGCTGCTGCTGCAGTCAGCCAACAATGATTTGCTGCGTGTCACTGTCGGGCTGTCGGCTGACTCGGCTCGGCTCACTCGGCTGCTGCCCCCTCCTGTGCACGAGCTGAGCACATGCTGTTGACATCACCCACAATGCACTTTTGCAGCCAGGCACGTGTGTTGTGGGTGTGGCTGTGTGTGATGGAGAAAATCTTTTTTGTGTCATTTAGAGGGAAAATGCCTGCGTGCATTTTAGCATTTGAGTCACTTTAAAAAAGTTGCTAAAAGTGCCAAATATATTTTCATAAGTTGCTAAATTTGTTGCTAGGTGCTGTTTGAAAAAAAAGTTGCTAGGGTAGCCTGAAAAGTTGCTGAATCTAGCAACTAAGTTGCTAAGTTGGCAACAGTGCAACAGACTGCTGGGTTGCTCTCCTTCCACTCACTTAACCACATTCACATTCCAACCCAGGTGCAAACAGCATCTCATTAGATCACAGACACGAATAGCAGCAGGACTCCGGGTCCCGACGAGCTGGATCGATAACCGCTGCACCACTTCATCTCAGCCGTGACACGGGACGACGCGCGGCTGATTCACATTCCCACACGCGACACACACACACCACTGCGTCCATGCGGCTGAATATCTCAAGACCGGAAGACGGTAAAACCTCTGAAAGTCTAACATCTGTTTGATCATTTGAAAAATCAGCGGAGGTGGAATTTACAATCAATCTCCCATTGAATGCAAGGGCCGTCTCAATTGCCCTCTGCTGCCACAATGTGAACACAGCATTAGTCTGGGAGGGTGAGTGCAGTCCATGGAGGGCCCTCCATCAAGTAGCAAGGCAGGAGTGGTTGTGTGTGTGTGTGTGTGTGTGTGTGCACCGAAAGGTGTTGAGCGTAAAAGTGCAGTTAAGAATACAGATATATATCTAAGATATTGAATATTGTCTCTTTCTGTCTCTTCACGCCAATAAAGTATCCGACTGTTTGGAATTTACAGAAAGAAAGTTTGGTTTATATGAGGACATACATTGTGTGACACGCCACACTCACACACACACACACACACACACACACACACACACACACACACACATATATATAATATATATATATATAAATACACAAATTATACAGAAACCAAGCCAATACAGACACGGCTATTCTTCAGAAATCCGGCTCCTGACAGTTGCTGCCATTCTTGTTCCACACAAATACAATAAAATATCCACTATTGTCTGCTGAACTGGTAGTTATCCTCATATTTTCAACACTGCTTTGCTTTTATCATTTTTTACTCCTTTCCATGTCCTCCGAAGTGTGCGCATGGGAAAATAACAAATAACCATGTATTATTCAGGAGACACCAAATGCATAAATACATTAAAAAGTCTCAAAACACAACTCCTTGTCTGGTATTAGCAGGTGTGCGCGTGTGCGTGCGCAGATAACCATTATTTCGCCTGCAGGTTTAAGAGAGGTGAACGCTGTATAGAGAGAGGGAGAGAAGAAGAAGACAGGATGTGTCTTACAAGTATCAGTGGACGCAGACGAGTGGAACCGCGAGTAAAGATGGATGGAGGATTCCAGAAAAGCCCATTATCATCTCTTTATGTGTGTGTGTGTGTGTGTGTGTGTGTGTGTGTGTGTGGCGAAGGACGATAACAAGAATGTATGTTTTTCAATCTATCTGTTTGCAAAATGCCTAGAGTGTGCGTATATTTCACTAAGTACGTCTGGGATGTGTGTACTTGCATGGGGGTGTATAAAAACAGTATCAGCACACACACACACACACACACACACACACACAGTCCGTCTGTCAGGTTCTGCATGTTATGGTTATGAATACCAAGCAAGAGTCAATGCCCTCAGGAAATGAAAGCACGAAATCCAAGTTATTTACAATGACCTCTCGCCCTGTGTGCGTGTGTGACTGTGTGTGCGTGCACATAAATGTGTTCAGCAATCACCCCGGAGGAATTTGATTACTGTGTGTGTGCATGTGTGTTTGTGTGCGTTTGTGCGTGTTACTACTGATGAGAGTAGCAGCAAGAAACAGAAAGAGGCAAATGGAAGAGAGGGAAGGGACTGAGAGAACGAGGAAGAGAGAGAAAGAAAGTTAAGGAGCAGCCGGAGCTTAGAAGAGCTATTTTTGGCTGGTCCAACAGCGAGGGATGGAGGGATGAAAACGAGAGAGACATGAAGTACAGAATGGACTCAAAAGGAAGAGGAAGGAAGAAAAAAAAGGAGGAAGGGAAAAGAGGGTTAAAAAAAGAGAGACGAGGAGGTGAGAAGAAGAGGTGGAGGGAGTGAGGAAGGAAGGGAGGGAGGAAAAGGGAAGAAAGATATTGGAGAGATATAACTAACGAGGGAGATAAGGGGACAAGACCAAAAAAAAGGGAAGGTTGGAGGGAGGAAGTGAAGAAGGAAAGGAGAGCAAAAAGGAGAAAAGGAGGTGCAGAGGTAGAGGTGACTGTGCAGAACATTGTTATCTCCACCATCTACAGCTATTACCACCAGTCCATTGTCACCGGGGGCAACCGGGCGTGTCACCGGGGCAGCGATAGAGAGATCACCGGAGCACGAGCGAAGAGAGAAGTGTAAGGAAAAGGGAGGAAGAGGAAGTGGAAGAGGGTATGTGGAGGTCAAGGAAGAATAAAGCAGGTTGGCTTTCATCTCTGACTCGCTCCAGCTCGGCTCCAGAATGAGGCTTTCACTTGCAGGAGATTTCCTAAAAGCTTCCCTCCCTGCCAGCCTTGGGCCCTACGAGGGGATAAATCAGGGCTTTAACTGGCACCGGCCCAGACACCTTAACAACCAGCCGCACCAGCACCAGACAAAAGACAAAAAGTGCAACTGGGGTAACAAGCTCAGGTCAGGGACGGCATTAGCTTCTCTGGGGGTAAAAAAATGAAGAAGGTGAGAGAAACACGACACAAACCGTCTCAGCAAGGTGTCGGTCCACCTCACCATCACAGGTGTGTGGATATGATGAGCTGTCTCACATGTTACTCCAAAGTGTCACACAGCTGTTGTATTGGTGCTGTGATTCACATCATCATTTTCATACTCATCAAAACATTGGATGTGTGTGTGCCGGGGAGCCCCGATGTCGAAATTCATTTATTCAGGTGTTCCTTTAACTTGCCAGCATCTAAATCCAGCAGGGTAGTTAAAAATAACACATTCGATACGGCAAAACAGCATGGCGTCTACTGCAAAAGCAAGCCCAAACGGATATTCACTATGGTGAAATTGTGTATATCTGGAAATATATCCCAACGGAGGACTCACGGATAAGGACTGATGTGCTTTGGCGAAGACATTTAGTCGGAAAGGTAATTGTTGCCGTGATTACGTTTACTTTGACACCAGAGACCGGGCTTTACAAACATTAACCAGCTGCTTTGAGTTCTCAAAGCATCATCATGAAAATGTTAATCATGCTGTACTTGCCAGGGGTGGATATATCTAAATACAATAAACATTTTACAGATGTTCAATATAAATATTCCCTCATTAAGGTGATAGAAAATGAAATCTCGGCGGCATTGTGTGGCTGCTACAAAAACGCATTTGCGAGCGCGAGACAGTTGTATACGAGACGGGTTCGAGCCTTTCAAGTAATAAATACAGAAAATGCGACGGCATCAAATCTCTGAACGGCGCTGAATTCTACCCGTGAAGCTGCACCGCGTACTTTGTGTTGAAGATGGAGAGGTTCACATCCGCCCCGCATTGGGTCTGATTGCGCGCAGTATGTTAGAGCAGACAGAGCAGCAGGTGTGGTGTGCTGATGCCTTTCTCCTTTCACTGCGAGGACACAAGAGTGTGTCGGTGCTGGAGAGATAAAGCACAGAGAGAGAGAGAGAGAGAGGGGGGGAGACTGATAGAGGAGGAGGCAGCGGGCCGCGCTTATGGCCAACTCTCGAGAACACACACGCAAAATCAATCTCCATTGATCACTCTCACGAACCCCAGTCACCTCCACCACACACCACTTCTTCTTTTTTTTGCATTACTTGTTGCACTCCTCCAAGAAGAAAAAGAACGGAGTTAGAAAAAGAAAAAAAGAAAAGAATGAAAAGTCCATGTTCCACTAGAGTGGCCACACAAGATGAGTTCTGCAGCACTTCTGTGGCTCTCTCTCTCTCTCTGGGAGAGGGAGTGTATTTATCACTCCGCTCCCAAGTTCAATATTAGGAGAGCCAACACCGTGCACGCTCCCCAGCCGACTGCAGCGTGTGCACGCACGCACACACACACGCACACACACACGTCACTTGTCTCTGAACCGGAGTGTTTCTGCTGGCTGGTTCTCTCTCTCTGCCTCAGAGTTCTCTCGTTTCTGAACTGACTGCTTTTCTTTCTTCTTCTCGCCTCGTGTTGTGAGGGACTCCTGCTGGGCCAGTTGGAACGCGGCTTCTCCTTTTAATTCTCGATGGAATCGGAAGCTATTATCTGCTCGCCGACTGCGCTCTCGACCGCCAGAGATGTAACCCCGCCCATCGTAAAACATCCATCTGGAACAATAGGTAGATAATGAGGAAGCTGGCGCCGAGCTGGTCCTGAACCATTAAGGGCCAGGTTATGTGGATATTAGAGTGGAGCGCCGGGGGCGACTAAGTGCCCACGCCTCAACGACGCGCGGGTCGTTCCGTCCTGCCCTCAGGAGGGGACTTACACCGTTATCACGGCACTTAAATGTTGTAATAGCCAGTTCAACGTTAAGAGTGAGGAGCTAATGGCATGGCGGTTAAAAGGGGATTTTTTTTTTTACGCTGCTGTTGTGCCAAACTGAGCTAAAGCTGAACCGTGGGAGTGGGAATGTATATGGGCACCTGTCGGCGGGGGAGGGACTGGGATCACGGTGACATTGCTACAGCGGTAAGCCCAGGTTGATAAAGACAAAACTATATTTGCAGTTGCATGTGAGCTCAATCAAATCCCCCCTCGCACAGGAAAAAGGTAAGTGAAGTTGGAGACAGTTCAGGAAGTTGGTCCGTAAACTGGGATGGATTGATGCCAGTTTGGTCGCTAATTTTCCTGTTTACCTTCCGTTTCTCTTTTCTAAATAAGTTAGGTGAGACGGCATGATGGCGCACGCTTTATGTTGGCAAATGCCAATCCCAAATTGCAAGAATTACCGGGGTGAATACAATGGTATTACCAGTAGGAACAATGGCAAACAACACTTGATCTCCACCAAATTCCAAATGTGGTGCCCTTCCGCAAAGTTTCCTGACAATCGTTCCTGTAGTTTTTCCGTAATTTCCTGCTGTCAAAAAGACAAACCAACCAAAAACATAACCTCCTTGGAGAAGCCAACAAGAACGAGGTTGTATTAAGCTACAATTTTCCATAAAAATGTGCTGATAGAGAAGGACATTAAAGTACTATGTAACATTACAGAGCTGTGTAACTGTGGCCACAAGTGGCAATTACAGGATGGTGGTGAATGCAAAGATGTAGTGTGCATGTAGCACAAGTGGAGTAGGGCCATGAAGTCGAGAGACTTCAGCTCAGTAATATCTGTTACACAGCAATAACGATGTAAAGTTTGGCTTACCGTTGGCTACTGGTCACACCAGAGTGAGGCTCTTGTACTGTAGCGGTCAAACCCCTGAGTATGTTGAAGTAGGCATGCGGTGCCATTTAGTGGTTGAGAATTTGAGAAGAATGTGTTATTTCTTCTTTTAAAAAGTTCTACAGTCTTGCTTGAAGTCAGCAGCAGAATGCTCACACTGGGAAATGCAGCGGTGTCAGCATCCTACAGATGTGTGGGACCTACCGGTCGATGCTTCCCTCATGTTCACAAAAACACACCCCCCCAGCCTCAGACTCGTATGTAGTGATAACAACACGCTCCGTACAACTCCGGTCCCTGTTAAAAAAAGGATAATCAGCCATGGTTGCACTCCTGAGTGCCAGGTAAGACTCCCGAGTTTGATTTGAACATGACGGCTTCTCAGAATGGTGGCCAACTCGCTTACCCTGATGAAAACCCACCATTCAAATCGAATGAGTCAAACGAGGCTTCGCACAAAAAGCACCGATCCAACCGCCCACACTATTCATAAAGTTAAAAAGCTCTCTCGTTCTCTCAGCTCCTTCTCCTCGCGCCGTCTCCCGCTTTGCCTCCTTCCCATGTTTACCTCTCTCTCTCTCTCTCTTCCGCCATCAGCCCTGACAACCCCATAATCTCAGCCAGAGTGACCTGTCCAGGCCCTTTGTACCGGCCTGGATTTATTGGAGGTAGAAAGAGAATGAGAACCTGTCACTCTGCTTCCCCTGACCTCTTAACCCCCTCTTTCTCTTTCACACACACACACACACACACACACACACACACACACACACCCTGGCAGGCATGCAGGTATACCACCCTACACTCTGGTACCTTCACCTCTACATACAAATAGCCTTCAATTCAGCCATACAACCTGATGAATCTCAAAACCAAAGCTTACAACCTGGCTGAATGATTCATCCTGCTACGTTCATTAAATCCTTTTGATCCTTAGGTCGGCCGGCCGGCATTCTGAGCGCGAGAAATGACGAGAGTTATTTTGTTATGTGTGGGAGCTACAGAAAGGCAATTGAAGCAAAGATAAACATACCTACATATGGCAGCGAGATAAATGTTCCCGTTGTGTGCAACGCTAGCGTGGCAATCTGCCCAAGACATTGTTATAATGTTATTTCATGTCTGTTGGTTTGACAATGTTACTTTATTTCAAATGAATTATTACATATATTTTGGTAATAATGAAACTGCAACAGAGAAATTTTCAAGAAACGTGCTGTACGGATCCTTAAATGTTATTGTAATATAATCTGATTAAATGTGTTACGTTTGCTTGGATAGTCATGAAGGATATAAACTCATATTTTGGCGGGGGGGGGTGTTTCATAATCATTGCTTCTTTGAACATTTGTGCATTGATGCATTACAGTTCATAATATTTGGGTATTGCGTTGTCAAATCTAAATGGAGGTGAAAGTATCAAAAACACGGCAGATTAAACAAGCTTTACCGTATTTTTCCTTTTCTTTCAAAGGCAGTTGTGCAGATTGAATATTTTCAATCGGACTTCTTACTTAAAAACAACCAGACCACACACGTGGTACGAATAAATGACATGAAAATACGAATATTATACGTCAAGGGCTTTTTTTTGGAAAAGGTGAAAAAGGGAGTGGATTTGGTCTGCGCTGCATTTGTCAAGGTTGAAAGCAGTAATAAAGTTTGCCGTCTTGGAGTGGACTAAGCAGCCTCCTTGATGTCGCAATTCAACCCGTTCCGTACAAAACGTGATCGGTCGATGCCTTTATTTGCTGTGTAATACTTGCATTCAGTGTGAAAGTATTCATGACAAAAACAGCAGAATATACTGACGTGCAAAGTAATCGCACAAAATGCCTTTCCACTCCCAAAGAACTCTGTGTTCTTTGGAAAGCAGTCAAACTCAAGGGTTACATGAAAAAGTTGAGGTATAAATTGCCTTACAATTAGCATCAATTACATAGGGCTATTAAAAAAAATGGAACACTCGCGGTGCTCCGGATGTGACATTATATAAGAGAAAGCCTCTGTCCTGCTGCTGAGCGTGTTGTTATTATCAGCAATACTATCATTAGTGTGATCATTATTATCATGTTTTACTTTGGGCTTGTTTTTTTTCCCGTGACTGCCTGCTGTTGTTGCCAGTGGTAATTATGGTGGTTCTGATGGCCTAAACCCTCCATAAACCATCATTACAGCACTCGCACTGCCTTCTCTCCCTGCATCTAGTCCTGTACTCTGTGCACCTATTCACTCACTCAATCCCTCGCTCACTTGCTCTTGCGTCCCCCTCGTACACTAAATGTTTCATATCTCATTCCTCTCTCAACATAATTTCCTTCCATCCCTCTCCAGATGCTTCTCCGCTGTACTCTCTGACACCCCCCCCCCCCCCCCCACCCCACCCCCTGTCCTCGCTCTGTCCTTTGCATCTCTTTATTTCCTCTCCGCCAGTGGTGAGCCAGTCAGCGAGCTTGGCACTGTAATCAGACCCGTGGAATTAGCGGCGGGTCCACACTGACGGGTGGAGCACGACGCTGACAAAACACTATGGTTATTATTGAGGCTGCTGCTTTTGGCAGGAACCTGCTGCCCCCCCCTCGGAGCCCTGGATCTTGATGGGCTCTGCTAAAGAGACGCAATGAGAGCTACAGCAGGAGTTTAGGCATCTGCCAGGGGCCAGGGGATAAAACGCACACTGGATGGCTACCAATGGGAGCGATGAGTGGCACACGTTTTCTGCTTGTGAGGGTGGCGCTTAAGCACTGGGAGCGCAGCCATGTTGGAAAGACAAAAGGTCGGACATAATGGGGAACGTGTTTTATTATTGGGGGATGAAGATAGGAAGGCAAAGCCTGTTGTGTCAGCACGGGGTGTAAAAGGAGTCCCTTTACTTGACAATAACACGCAATTTAGTGTCACTCAGAGACCCGCGGCTTTGTGTTTCAATCAATTAACCGCGTGTTTTCTGTCCCAAAGATCAAAACACACCAAGTCACACGTCCATCACTTCAAACCCCCCCCCCCCTTACATTCGCCGCGCTTGAAGCGGTTTATTCACCTGTACGGCATTGAAATTCAACTCTCACAGCGGCTTAATGGAGAGTGTCAGTCTCGGGTCAGATTGCTTTCTGTTAATGCTTTAGATTCAGTGAACTTTCTCGGATTCACCTTTTTCTGGATCAAAGGCACCGATTTGATGTCTCAAAATGTCCAAATCCCTGTATATACCAACGGTAAAACCACACACACACACACTAACATAAATATAATATGATAGCCGCGCTGCTGTGGTCGTACTTGGTAGCAGGGGTCGACCACGGCCGACCCGTGACCGTCTCAACTGAGATGTGCTCTCAGCAGCTAAACTCATGCGTGTCTGTGCTGGAGAAAAAAAGCTCCGTGTTCAGCTTTCAGTACTTTTACAGCTTCTACCTGGATCTCCGCTGCTGTGTTCCTGTTTGTACTTCCACACATCAGCCTCATTTTACTGACTGCTGATCGCTTTCAGGCGTGTTGGAGCCGTGTGTTACTGTTCATACAAACTCAACCGTTCCTGCTGGTCCTGCTTGGCGTTCCAAGCTGGATGCTTTTATTGTGAGGAAGTTATAGGAAATGCGTCACCAAGTTAGCAGAGTTCGCTTTAACGGTGCTATTCTTCAATAAATTCCATGGAAATAAACCCTGATTAGTGGCGCTGAAAGCACATGGAATCATCTCAAATCATTCTTTGTCTCCAAGAGTGGGTGGTCGGTCGCTAGGCGGGCAGTGGTACTTACAGCAGGGCCCTTTGCGCAGAACCTTGATGCGTCTCTGCGTGTTGCACTGGGCTTTCTCCAGCTCGCACTCGTTGGAGTAGGTGGAGGAATCCGAGCCGCACACGGGCGCCACCAAGGACGGACAGTCCACTCTCTTGCAAACACACTCGGCCTTGGCCGGGTCGGCCTGGTCCCGCTCACATACAGCGCTGAAGCCACACAGCATCCCTCTGCAGCCTGCCAGAATCAGGAAGAAAGAAAGAAGAAGGTGTTAGGATTGATACAAGAACATCTGATTAAATGAGCACGTTGCTTTTTGTTCAGTTCATGTGCTCAGTCTTCGCGAATGAATGCAAAGAAAGTTTATGTTTAAACATCAGGCGGATTAAGCTCAATATGTGTCTTTGTGCGGAACTCTACACAGTTTAGCAACAAAAAATGCATGAGGGATTAAATGTGATCCTGGTGTAAAGCAAACAGATGCTCTCAATTCATTCAGGGGAGAATCTATCCGCCCATGCAGAGCGAGGACAGTGTGTTGTTGGGCGTGCTGAGGCCACTGCAGAAATTGGAAAAGCTTCAATGTAAAAAAAACTAAACTAAAAAGTCAGCAACAACATTAAAATCAATCCACAGACAGCAGTCTTGCGGACGGTTTATTTTCCCCTTTGAAAACGGTCTTTGAAAGCACCAGCGATCCACCGTCCAGGAAAACGTGGAGCGACGGCAACAAGCAGACAAACCAAGGTTAGACGACCACTGCAACGCCGCACGAGTCAAGCAGCAACAACTCTCAGGACTTCTGAAGCTCAAGTCTCCGCTGACTCCACTCGCTTCGATCGAGTGAGAACCTGCAAACTGTAAAGTTTGTCAGAGGCCGCTGACCGCGCGGAGCAGACAGGAAGTACCCGTGTGCGTACACAACATCAATAGAGAGCAATTCACCCGCGTTGTGGCACCCCCCAGCTGCTGTGGCTCTGTGCCCAGTGAGAGGGCTGTTGGGCAGCCAGCTGGCATCACGTCCTCAGCTCAGTATTAAAAGAGATGGCAGGCTCTCACAGGTAGCAAACCTGATTGGAAATCAATGGATGAAAGCACATGAAAATCCACTTAAAATAAATATAAAAAAAAGGATGGAGGGGCGAACTACCAGTGTCAATGCTGGGGATATGCACGTCACACACACACACACACAAAAAGCTATTTCTTATCAGTTGCTCCCAGGCAAAGACTAAATGCGAGGCGACATGTCCACTTGGACTCGCTTGCAGGTGGCTTTTTGCGGTACTGGATGTCTGATAGACACGTACGCACATAAAACTCCTTGTGTGCAGCATAGACAACTGGTCCAGCATCTGCCCAAGGCATCTCATTTGGTCTCTCTCCTCACACTGAAGCACAGTGTGCGTGTGTGTGTGTGTGTGTGTGTGTGTGTGTGTGTGGGGAGTGACAAGCGAGGAGGCTGTTTTTGACTTGCCCACTGTTCCCCGTGGGAGAGCGCCTGACAGCTACCTGAGCTTACTCTCTTTTGTACCAGGGGAAAAGGAAGTGTGTGTGTGTGTGTGTGTGAGAGAAGCTATCCATGAATGCATCTGTATTCCTGACAGCATGTGTGTATCTAAGATGTGTAGGCATTAGGTGTCTCACACACACACACACACACACACACACACACACACACACACACACACAGCCAGGTGCTAGCATGAAGGTCTTGTCACGACCGGCCCGCTGCTCTGCCATCACTTCCCACCGTGCGATGCGCGTGCGTCGGCGTCAGCGAGCACGCGAGCGTCAGCGGGTGTCTCGGAGGCAAAGCCATGCGAGCGGAGCGGCAAGAGGTGAAATTCAATCGAACTGTGTCAGATGCGTACAAGAGCGAGGGAGGGTGTCTGATAGCATGTCAGGAAGAAATAATAAAAATAACCACAAGAGACAGAGGTTGCGGGTGTCCAAACATCAATCTCTATGTGGTTTAAAGGTATCAGCCGTGTTTCTTAACAATATATAGGTAGCACCGGTAACATTCAAGTAATAAAGCAAATAAGATTACTATTGTCATTGACAAAATACACATTGTAAACAGTGACGGTGGACACACCACCTGGAGAGGAAAAGAATCATGTATGCCAGCAGTGGTTTGTAACCAGATCTTCCTAAGAGAAAATCTCACTCTAGCCTCGAGCTTAGCTGAATGACAAAAGGCCAACACCAGAGCTGAGGGCTCTGTCAAAGTGAAGGTTTCAAGAGCAGGCGTCGGTCAGAGTGTACAAACTGCATACTTATGACCTAGGGGTTCTTTCCAGGGGGAAATCCTCCCAATAGGCTACCCGAGAAAAAGTTTCCAATTTCGTAGGAAAAAACGGTGGTAGTCAATATGAACAACGTTATCTACCAGGGCTGAAAAGTGCCCTACCAACAAAAATTTTGTCAACAAATAAATTTCAACCGGCTCTGACCCTGTTTGATTGACGGGTGATCTCGGGGAGTGCAGACACACTAACAAAAATGGCGAGGAGGATCCGAAGGACATGTCCTGGATGCCAATGCAGGGCTTTTCCCACAGCGTTCACACTCTGGCGATGTGTGTTTAGGCACTAAAATAAAAAAAGCATTTACACATCTACTGTAGAGGTGCTTCAGCAGACTTCTGGCTCTTTGCCTTTGTTACACACACGGGTCCTTATTTTGTCCAGTGTAGGTGATGTTGACGTGATTTACGTTAGTGGTTCTTCAGTGGAATTTATGGCTTGTTGATTTTAGAATGGAGGCAGTAAGGCGGGATAGTCGCTAAGCTAGGAAAAAGCTAGCATAAATGCTAAAGAGCGTTACATTGACCCTTTCCTATTACTTAGCCTCTTTCATGTATTAAACAATGAATGGTATGTCCAAACACGGTGCCGGACTCATTCCAATGAAAGCCACTTCTTTCACAGACCCGTGCATACAACAAAAACATTTCCCCCGCTTCCTTTCCAGGATTCCTTGTACCGCATTAGCATTAGCGTGTTTTCTCCAGCTGCCACCTAGCAAACTGCTCGTACATATAAATAGCATAGAAAGGGTGGTTGCTATTGAAAATACAATTACTCTGATATTGATGGTGTGGACAAAATATTGGAGACACAGCGAAGTACAGCTTCCAAAATCTCTTAAACAGTCTCCACAGAACAGAGTAAGCTTCATGAAGGCAGGATTCATTGCGGGTCCAACGAGCAAGACGGCATTAGTTTCCCCTAGTTGTACCTAATAAAATGGCATAAAATGGTGTATGTCCGACCTCATGGCTCAAGTTTCAATATATGTAATTTGTTTGACAGCCGTTGCTTTTGCGATAAATACTCTCGGCCAGAGGTTCTTCTGGGTCCCATGGCCTCGTCTTACAGCCTCCTACATTTCAAACAATTAGCATCTATTGGACTACATTGTTCCCCTAAGTGGTGATTGTCCCTTAAAGGATTACCCTTTTAAAGGAGCGCTCCAGCATTGAGTTTGAGTGTAGAAGTGTCTAAATTTGGAAAGGTAGTCCAAAAAAACAAAACAGGCCTTGACTATACATAACATATCAAAATAAAAGCTTTACCCACATAATGCTAGCATACTAAATGTCCATACAGATGTTTCCAGATAACAGATGTGCTTATAATGAGAACCACTATGCTGTGCCACTGGGACTAATGGGTATGACCTTTGGAGATTATTTTCTCTCACTTGAGTAGTGAAAGTAGTTTGGGTGTGTATAATGTGTATGTTAGTGTGTGTGTGTGTGTGTGTGTGTGTGTGTGTGTGTGTGTGTGTGTGTGTGTGTGTGTGTATGTATGTACAGAGTCTACTCTGCTGGTGAGTCCAAGCAAGAAAGTAGCTTCCAGCTGAGTTGATATAATGATTTCTAAAAAAAAAAGAGAAAAGAATGCCTTTTCTTAATCTTGAATGGCTGGCTGCACAACCATGTTTTTATACTGGGCTCACTAGTGACATCTCCATCAGGATGAGAGTTAATACTACAAACAGTTTTACCGTTTGGTTGTCTTGAAAGCTTTGCAATGTCTTTTTGAGTGCAATGAGTGTGTGTACACATGTGTCCGCAGTCCATGTAAGTGTGTAAGGTAATCTCCCTCCAGCCCAGCACCGTTAAAAGCTTCACAACCATGCTTTTTTCTTTTCTATTCGCGGCGTAGGAAGAAAATCCCATCGGGGAGAAAAGACAGCATGTCCAGTTTTGCGCTTGTCAAGGCAAACGTTGTGCACAGGTAACACTTCATCCCGTGTTCGGACGGCGCAGCCATTAACGATGACATGGTGTTGGAGCTTTAACAATGTTCAATGCGTCAGTGGGTTGTCAAAGGAAAGGGTTCGCAGTGTTGTGATAAAAAAAAACAAGAAAGAAAGTCTGGCATAGTTCACCGGTTAGCAATTTTACACCAATCCCATTGCCAGTTGTTATGCTTCAGGATTCAGTGCGCGACTAAGATGATGTGCATACCTGTTCATTTCTTAGGTGGATCAAAGCACACGTCATTGCACAAAATGCTACATTCTGTAGTGACCGTTTCACAGCAACACAGACCAAGTGCTCTCAAATTCAATCCCAGTTTTAAAATAGTATCGCGCGTGACATTTTGTCCTAGTCGCTTGCTTTTCAACACAGATTCAGACGGACACAGATTCAACAAATATGCCAGCAAAACCAGCAGTTCCTATTACTTTGAGATTGTTTCTGCACTGTGAGGAGAATGTCCCCGCAGCCTGTGTTTGCACTGAAACGCTCTATCAGTTTCATTGTTTTGCTGCCTTGTTGCGTTTACCTCAAACACAGTGAGAAAGCGAGAAATGGACTGTTGCAGCGACACATGAACGCATTCAGACCCAATAAGGCCTGACAGAATCGCCGTGACACACTCAAAATGGCTACTTTAGGGAAAGAGCGCTATTCTCTGCTGAGGGGGGGAGGGGACGGGAGGCGGCTGTCACATTTTTGAATTATTTCACAGCAGTCCAGTGCGCTAGACGGTAAAAGGAGCCAAGGATGGGGGGGGAAAAGAGGGAAAGGAAAGGTGTGCATGAATAATTAACAGTACCTGGACTTTACACGGGTGACAAGAATAGCGGCTGAATTATCAGCATGGCGCTCAAATGGTAAACGTGTTGAATAACCCGTTCAGGTGAAGCCAATTGTGCCGTGATGAGATTGAGCTCTGCAAACGGTGGCTACAACATTGACTGGTGACTGCTACTGG